ATGTTTTAGGCTGAGCTATGTGCCGGTACTGTGGAAAGAAGCGATGGTTGTCGAGTTTTCTCCAAGGCATACATCCCATAACTTCCATTTCATTTATCCAAAAAACGCTGGAAAAAACACTTTGTCGCCAAGCATCTTGACCAAGGCACAACATGCGTACACTAAGGGCAAACCCACAGAGAAGGCGCTAGACTCGCTAGTACAATACTTTGAGAAAGCTTTAGAATACAAGGAATATTTTTTGGGGTTTTCTGGATATTGTCGGAGTTTTCAATAATGTCTGAAGTGAAGCTATTTTGAATAGCAGCAGTGGGGTATATAAATGATTTGATCGGCCAAAAGTTAATTTTTTTTAAGTGAACGCCAGTAAAAAAGGAACTGAAGAGCAAAAACTATTCATAAGGAAGCAATGAGCCTCAGCCCTTTTCTTTGTCAGTGTAATAAGGGCCCCACACGGGACAGTCGAAACTTGATTTTCATTTTCAGTGTTAGGGTACTTCTTAGTGTTCTAAGCGAAGCAATTTTTTCCTAAGGTAATATTATATCCTTCAGCTTTTGACAAGTGGTAAGGGCTATGGATTTTGACGGAGTGAGGAAGCGTGTATACTTTTTAGATAATTTAATAGAAACTAGTGGTACTGTAACTATTGTAGGTAAAATTAAAAACAATTGGCGTCTTCACATCTTCCGTTTATCAGGTTATCTGGCTAAAAATTATTATTCCCTAGTGTGTTTTGTTTTTGCAAACTGAGTTAAAAATATACATAACTACATAACCAGATAACCTGACAAAGAGGCAGGTATAAATACCCCATATATGATTAAAATTATTATTTTTTCGGGGTTTACCGGCAAATTTTCACTGCATCAAATACCTACTTCTACCTTCTACACGATTTTGAAAAAGCTGCTCCCGAATGACTTCATTACTAAAATGTTTGGGAGCCTATCAATCGGGAAGTTAGAAGACTATGTCTATTTGAACACATTTTTGTTGTTGTTGTAACAGCATACAAATTCCCCTAAGAATATTTAGGGGTGTTGCTGGAGTGACCGGATATGAATCTGGATCGTTCCGGTTAGGTAGACAAGACTGTCGTGAGAAGGAATAGTTACACTTCGACAAGATGTCTTGGACTCAGCCGACCCTATCCTGCCTTAAGGCCAGTATGCAGCTCTCAAGAAAAGCAAAAACTCCATATAAAATGACGTACAAAAAATGGCTAAGAAATTTTCTTGTGTAAAAATTTCTTGCGCCAGTACGCAGTTCTTAAGAAATTTGCTACGATTTCTACTATGGTTTTCTAAAGTTTTTTGGAAAAATGAGCACAAGGCATGCTTGCAACATAAATATATGGCCCATTCCATTATTTCTTGAGGAAAGAGTGAGGCAACAGGCTGGTGAAGTATCAGATGTCAAAATTCCTTTAACACACACACACACGAAATAATCATTTTTTTTTCTTGACCGTTTTCTTGAAAGCTGTATAGTGGCCCTTACTAACAAAAATTCTGAACTCGTTAATAAAAGTACTCGCATCAGTTCTTATGAATACAGTTTTTAAAATTTTCGGTGACAAAATATTCGGTAACAAGCGGAATAGACCATATAACTTTCAAAAAGAGGTAAATCTGATCAGACGAATATAGCACATAATCGTATAATGCAATATCTAAATGTTTTCGTATAAGATGCAAAAGGTCTAGATAAATTCCGTGAACAATCAGTAAAATAAAGAGGAAGTTAAAAAATCTGTTTCTCGACGTGTGTTTGAATTTTTATGTGTAACACTGTATCATAAGAAACCAAAACAGCACTTTCCCTATAAAAAATCGAAAGCGAATGAAATCAACAAAAGCACGCAACCCTGCCTTTCAACTGAGGAGACTATCGCGGGTAATACGAGTATAAAGTAGGCTTGTGGAAAGCGAATTCGTGACGAACTTTATTGAGCTAAACGCAAAGTTGTTCCTAATATCGTAAAGCAAAAGTATCCTGCCATACACTAGTAAAAATTCGTTTCACTATACAAACACATACACACATATGTACATATATATAGGTATGTACATATTTATAAGTAAAAGCATTTCATCGACTTGCTGTCGACCAGGCGTCACGTTTGGCCTAAATACTGGTAGGTATACATTCCAGCGCTTTCAGGCTGGCGACACTGTGTCCCGTCGACCGGTTATGGAGCGCGCATTTTACCCTAAGCTTTTGACACATTTTTCGTTGTGCCAAACTTCAACGGAAGAAGGACGTTAATGCAGAGTTGCAGTTGGTGAGTACCTACGAGTTATTTTGGACTTCAAACAATCAAAAATACCAGTAGGCAACGCTTTACGAATATTACAATGGATTTTAAGTACACATAGATTGTAAGCCTAAATATATGCCTCGTAATTTGGTGGGGGATCATTTACGGAAATATTCTCTGTATAGCAGACGGCCGCTGTGGTGTAGTTGTTAGTAGTGCGCGCGAGCATTCCGCAGTACCTAGATTCGAGCCCAGTTTCCGAATAACATAAACAAATTTTTTTTTTTTTTTCAGCAGGTTATGGTAAATTTCCGTGTGTATTCTGCCATGAAAAACAGCTTCTCATAAAAAAAACAATCGCCGTTTGCAGTCGGCGTGAAACTGTAAGTCTCTGCCTTTTGTGTGCAAACATCAAAGCGCACGCCACAAATCGGAGGAGAAGCTCGGCCAAACACTTACATATTGTGTAAGTGCCATTCTATTATTATTATTAAAGAAGTCGTAAAATGTCATAGACTATGTTTGCTTATTTGAGAATGTTTGTGCGTTAACACATCGCTGGCTTTGAGTGAAAAGCTTAGCAGCTTTTTTGTGGAAATTCAAATTGTGATATATTTGAAGTTAAAAATCGTTCNGTGCGTTCACACATCACTGGCTTTCGAGTGAAAAGCTTAGCAGCTTTTTTGTGGAAATTCAAATTGTGATATATTTGAAGTTAAAAATCGTTTCCAGAAGGATTAAGGGCCGATTTCATAATAAAATTAAAGAATATTTTAAAATTTAAAGGATGCTTCATAAAGCCACTTTAAAGATAAAGGTGCCCTTTAGTTAAATACCCAAAATGGAAATTTAAATGACCTTTTGTAAGAAAAAAAGTTTGTTAGTTTTGTCGTTATAATTACATGACATTATGACAATCAGCTGATGCAATTTTGCCCAGATCAGAATTGCCAACTTTGTTATTTCCATTTAAATTGACCTTTTGTTATTGTTCAACTGCCATTGTATTATAAAAACACTTCTTGTTTAAAGTGCATTTGAATGACACTTTAACTAAAAGCAAACTTTTGCAAAAGGAACTTTAACAGGCCTATTCTGCGTTGGTAACAATAATTTTTTTACCAGTAAATAAAGTTCCTGGTAATTTTTAAACCCTTTTCGCATTCTGCACACTGGTAAATTTTGTTACCATCTCATAACCACATAACAAAATATTGCCCCGTGAAGTATGCAACACCAGAATTTATACAAAACTTCATAGCTGAATTGCTGAATAGATTAATTTGTTACCAAGGTACTTAGGATTGCGGTTTCAAGAAATGGTGTTATTTTTCGGTAACAAAATTTTCCGGTGTCAAAATGTTCGATAACAAGCAGAATATGCCTGTTCGTGTTTGATTATGAAATTGCCTCTAAGGTGCTTTTTTATGTGTTCCCGTTTATATTCAATGTAAGATAAATTTACCTCTCTGAAGTTGGCCGGACAACTTTTCCCAAAGCAAAAAGTCCTATCAGATAATTTGCCGTTAATTATCCGTGAAAATAATAATTTTGCAGCGGACATATTTAAAAAAAAATGTCGCGTGCTCTTCCGTGGAAGATAGCAGGACACCTTCTGAAAACCAATTAAGGAAACAAGCTAACCCAAACTAACTATCTGATAATTGCCGTAAATTATCCGTTCTTTATCCGTGGGACTAAAAATTTTGTCGCAGACATATTTAAAAAAAATATCGCTCTTCCGTGGAAGTCAGCAGGACACCTTCTGAAAAGCAATTAAGGAAACCAGCTAAACCCAAACTAACTATCTCATAATTTTCCGTAAATTATCCGTGAGACTAAAAATTGGTCTTTGCTCTTTCAAGCTATAAAGGCACCAGCCTCGAACTAACTTTTCGGAACCCAACCCCTTTTTTTATTCCACTAGGATACCTACCATAAACAAATAGTATGACGCTTAAACTGGGCGAGATAACGTCAATCGGGTGACAAATTTTGACTATGCCATTGGAAAGCTGGGCTCCTCCACTTTTCAAATATACCCACTTTTAGGTGAGGGGACCTTCTAGTTTTAATACATTCAGTGTTAAACTTAACTTTTTTATATTATTTTTAATATTAAAATCTTATGAACTACAAAACCGTTAAAAAAATAACGATGTAAAAATAAAGATAATTTATTTATCGTTCAACTCATGTAGGTACCTAATTAATATTATTTATTATATTCTAAAGCCAAGAATACTAAAAAACGAAAATATTTCGTTATTTTTTTCATTAAATGAAATGAAAGATTTACATACTATTTAATTATATAATTTTTTAATAAGGCTTTTTAAAAAATCGTGTTTGTTTAATTTTTTTGCAATTTTTTTTAAATAAAATTTGATTTTCGCTATAACTTTACCTATTAAAGCCATTCATATTTCCTATTGAATGACATCAAAAATTAACAAAAAAAAACGTGCTTTCGTTTTCGAGATATTTGAATTAAAAAAATTCTGACTTTGACCTTTGGTAACTGTAGTTTTCGATTGCCATCAAACAAAATTATACCGGTATAACTGCCTCAAAAATCTCTATCGATGTCCCTTGTAAAAATTTGTCGCCCTCGTTATCGGAATCGTGCCTTAAACTGTTGTTATACGTGGTAATATCAGTTTTCCCCAAAAACGCAGAAATAGGATGATATGTATGTTTGAAGGTACATATGTACATAGGTAATTCAAAATTACATACCTGCATGCCAATGGAACGAGCGGCAAAGTTTGCTTCAGCGATGGTCGCAAATTCTGATTGCGTTTCTCTGGCCAAACGTGGTCAAATTTCAGCTTGAGTCCATAGCGTGGAACTGCGGTGATCTCGTTCTGCTGCATCTCCTCATAATTTGCGCTTACCGAATCCATAGTTGACTGCTGCTGGTCGGTCATTCCTAATGATTCCATTTAGTAGTACAACTTAAATTATCGTGGGAGCGTTCAAATAATTAGTCGGCTACAATTTTATTAGCACCAATCAAATTAATTTAAAAAAAGCAAGAAACGACGGCACAAATTGCAGCACAGAAAAATTTGCTGTGAAAACAGACAAACACGTATTGTACGAACACACTTTTTTCACGATCGCATCCGCAATAGAAAAAATCAATTCATAAATACAGCGGCGCTGNAAAACGCAGAAATAGGATGATATGTATGTTTGAAGGTACATATGTACATAGGTAATTCAAAATTACATACCTGCATGCCAATGGAACGAGCGGCAAAGTTTGCTTCAGCGATGGTCGCAAATTCTGATTGCGTTTCTCTGGCCAAACGTGGTCAAATTTCAGCTTGAGTCCATAGCGTGGAACTGCGGTGATCTCGTTCTGCTGCATCTCCTCATAATTTGCGCTTACCGAATCCATATTTGACTGCTGCTGGTCGGTCATTCCTAATGATTCCATTTAGTAGTACAACTTAAATTATCGTGGGAGCGTTCAAATAATTAGTCGGCTACAATTTTATTAGCACCAATCAAATTAATTAAAAAAAAGCAAGAAACGACGGCACAAATTTGCTGTGAAAACAGACAAACACGTATTGTACGTACACACTTTTTTCACGATCACATCCGCAATAGAAAAAATCAATTCATAAATACAGCGGCGCTTTTGCTTTGCTTTCACTTTTTCTTTACAGTTCAAAACTGATTAAAACACTTTAAAAACGATAATAAACGACAAACACACAAATTTGTAATTACTTAATTATCCATTTTCCGCTTGAATTTACTCAAATAAATTGTTGCTTCACTACTTTTGGGCCCCCAATTTTTTTTTTTTTTTATTAGAAAGCAAAACACGTGTTTTATCCGCCGCAATCAACCGCACTCGCTCAATTCCACGAAAGAACTAAAATGGCTCTGAAATTCCGTTGCTTTTGCAGACAGCTATGCGTGAAAGAGCGAAAAGCAACAACAAAGCGCATACGTAGGTATGGATGTGTGTGCAATGGTGGAGCAGCTCAGTGGGGTTTTTGTTTAGAATTGATGTGGAGCAAATTGGAAAGAGTGTGTGCGAGAGAATGCAGTATGGTGTGTGTGTGTGTGTGTGTGTGAATACGTGGAAGTGCAGAACAGCTGTTCGCAGAGCTGCCCATTGGCCGTCAATTGAATGAATTTTAGAGATTTCTATAATAAAATGAAGTCGAAAATATAATAAAATTTAAGANTTTTTTTTTTTTTTTTATTAGAAAGCAAAACACTTGTTTTATCCGCCGCAATCAACCACACTCGCTCAATTCCACGAAAGAACTAAAATGGCTCTGAAATTCCGTTGCTTTTGCAGACAGCTATGCGTGAAAGAGCGAAAAGCAACAACAAAGCGCATACGTAGGTATGGATGTGTGTGCAATGGTGGAGCAGCTCAGTGGGGTTTTTGTTTAGAATTGATGTGGAGCAAATTGGAAAGAGTGTGTGCGAGAGAATGCAGTATGGTGTGTGTGTGTGTGTGTGTGTGAATACGTGGAAGTGCAGAACAGCTGTTCGCAGAGCTGCCCATTGGCCGTCAATTGAATGGATTTTAGAGATTTCTATAATAAAATGAAGTCGAAAATATAATAAAATTTAATAAAATACAAGTATATAATTAGAAAAAAATTTTAGGACAAGCTTTTATTATGGGAAATGTTTAGTTATTGGCCCATCGTTTTTGGGGTGGGGGGCGGAGGGGGAGGGGGCGTGGCCACCCCAAACCCCCCTCATTCGAAAGGGGCCAGTCGCCACTTTACGAAAAGCCTGGCCTTGGCTGTTAGTTTTTAATAAAAAAGAAAAATCGACCCCGCACCACCTAACGGCTAACATTTTTGCGGAGTTATTCCTTTTTATGTAAGTTATATACATTCCGTTTATGAACCATATCGGACCATAAATACAGGTTTTCCAAATATTTCGACGCCTACGCAACCTAGCGGATTAGATCCTTATTCAAATTTCATTGAATTTCTGTGGAGTTTGGTTAAAAATTGGATGTAAGATTTTACTACACACAGGTCAAACTTAATAAAAGCTTGTAAAAATAAAATATGCCTAGTAAATAAAATAAAAATAAAATAAAGTAAAAAGAAATCAAAGCAGAGATGAAATAATGACAAAAATAAATCTATTCAAGTTTTTATTTGTAAACTGAACCTAACTTAACTTACCTTTTTTACCAAAATAAATCCTTAAGAGAGACTTTAAATAAATATTTTTATTTATTTTTTTAATTACATAACATGCATATACAACTAACGCTAAACTAAAGTTTTTTTCTTGCTTAAAATAGTAGCATAAACTAGTTTCCTTACGCATCTAAATAGTAATGCGAAAATTTTAACATCCATGCAATGATTTGAAAATTATTACATTTTATGTGTTCCATACGGATTTCATGAACGAATCCTTTTAAAGTAACTAAATTCTAATAAATACATATATTGTGATTGTAATTAATGTAATGCTATTTATGTGAACAAATACTAAGTTTTATTTACAAACGATTTATGGACTTCTATGGACTGTGCATTGCATACGAAAAATTTTGTACTTGACAAAAATTAGAGGCTTCTTACGGCGTCATAGCAGTCTTGCGTCATAAATTTTATGACGGCTAGAAATNAGTTTTATTTACAAACGATTTATGGACTTCTATGGACTGTGCATTGCATATGAAAAATTTTGTACTTGACAAAAATTAGAGGCTTCTTACGGCGTCATAGCAGTCTTGCGTCATAAATTTTATGACGGCTAGAAATTTTTATGTTGCTGTATTGAATTATCTAAAAATATGTTTTTACAGATATAAAAACTATGGCGCGTATTCATAGTTAAGTAGTAGTAAAGTTGCAACTTTTTGATAGCTATAACTTTCAATGGGATATCTGCCAAAAAAGCTGCAACTAACTTTAAAATCGACCTTATATCGGCTATAAATAAATATGCCCACGTGTCATTACTACTCCTAATGACACTTTGTAAATCCACTAAATGTTATAAAATTCAGCAATAAGTAAGTAAAAAAATATTAAATAATATACAAAACTAAATATACGAACACAACTGCATAATTTGCATATAATTATTGCTAAACAAAATAATTTAAAATAAAATAACTAACTAAAGCCTCTTCTTCAAATAAATTGAACGTGAACAAAAAATAAATATTATATGTACTTTAGTAAAAAAAAAAAAATTTTAGCTAAATTAAATAAAAACCAACCATGAAATTTGTACATGCATATGTANAAAAAAAAAATATTGTAGCTAAATTAAATAAAAACCAACCATGAAATTTGTACATGCATATATGCGGCTAACAATGTAGCCTGCTAGAAGAAATCGGATTGCTGAAAGAATTTTCTGGAACTATTTATTAGTATTATATATTTGGCAGCATCAAAGCCAATTGAAAATTTAAAAAAAAAAAACCTCCCTTACAAAAATCGAATTAATTTTTGAAATAAGAACATTGAAACTTCTACGAATACGGACACAAAACGTTCATCTAACTTAACTAAAAGTTTACCTTTTATGTACAACTTGATTTCCTATAGGGTGTGTAGTTTAAATTGCATTTTATACACACACAAACAAAAAATTACTGCAATACAGCCTAAAAGTATGCCTATATTAATTAACTTAAAGCTTACTTTACGGTATACTTATAGTTTTCTTTACATTAAAATGCAGTCACTGGAACCAGTGTGTTCGCACGCACACACTTAGTACATACTATATTCACAATATGTGTGTAAAAACTAGTAAGTAGATACATAAGATTACTTAAATTAGTGCATTAGATACTACATGAAAACATACAAAAATGTAAATTTCTATATTGGAAATTCTAAGTATTGGCAATGCTTTTTTTTTCGTTTTATGCTGCAGGTATGCATATACATATGTATGTATGTGCATATAAGGGTGCGTCTTAAAATGTAAAATATCAAAATTTTGTATGGAACACACCTTTATTTCGGTCTACGTACAAAATAAAGACATCGAAGAAAATTGAAAAATTTTTAAATAATTTCACTATGCGACAGTCAAAATCGGGATGGGATGAAACCAACGGGAAATGTTATATCGGTCAAAAACAAGTTATACGTGTCCCGGCGTTTCGCTGGGTCACGTCTAGGAATCGAGATATATATATAACTATCATATAGGGGAAATTGTCAGCTTTGGTGGTCTTTTTTTGACATAACTCGAGAACCACTAGTCCGATTTTGCTCAAACAAATTTAAAAAAATTAAAAATTACAATTCCTTTAATCTGTTCATATAACGTTTTTCTATATAATCAACAGTTTTGCCGTTAAAAATAAATGTATGAAACGCCGGGACACGTATAACTTCTTTTTTACCGATATAACTTTCCCCGGTAGTTTGAACCCTTCCCGATCACTGACCCCTACCATTTGTCTCACAGTGTTTTTAGCGGTCGCTACTAGGTCTGGAAAACATTAAAATTTGACAAATTTGACATATTTTGTTACCATTGAAAAAATTAAAAAAAAAAATGCCTTTTGAGCTCCGGAAGTTTCATTATAATTATTTGTAATCCAGTGTTATTTCTAATTTAGAAAAATGCTGCATTTCTTAAAATTTTTTCTATGGCAACAAAATATGTCAAATTGTAGAATTTCAATATTTTCAATCCCTGGCAGCGACACCTAAAAAATATTATAAACTTTAGAAATTTTCGTGGATGCCTTTAATTTGTACGTAGAACGATACCTCATACAAAATTTAGATTTTAAGACATTTTAAGAAGCACGCTAGTGCATGTGTATGTACATAAATCAAGTCGAATTCGATGTAGACATTTTGCGCTTATCACTTGTTTAAATATATTTAAGAACTCACATTAGAATCTTCAAATATATTCCAGTTGTAATGCACTGTCGTTAAGGTTCCTGTTTGGCCATTTTTCATTCTTAAACAAAGTTTTAAGTTTCAATAGATAGCGTGTTCGTAAGCGTAAATGCATTATGGCAGTGTCGTTCGTATTTTATCGACAATTAACAAAATATAAACTCTAGAAATTCGCTTCTTATTACTACCGTTGCCGTTACAACCGCTTTCCAGTATTAAAGTAAATTACAAATCACAATAAATAGTAGCTAGTATGCTCGTATAGCGTTTAATCCATAGTTTAACAGGCNAAATCACAATAAATAGTAGCTAGTATGCTCGTATAGCGTTTAATCCATAGTTTAACGAATTGTCTACAGGCGTAGAACTTTTTCATTTTGCATTAGTTTTAGACCGCGTTCAATAACTAACAAATGGCTTCCAACTCTATTCTCCAAGGCTAAGATGCTACTGATTGCAACACTTTTGTACTATTTTTAATCGGTTCTTAAATTTTTTATCTACTTGCCAGGCGAATAAACTTAAATTGGCTGTTAGGAGACACTCATAATGACTTCTTTACAAAAGAAATAAACACAATTATGACTCTATGCGTCCTTTTTGCACCAATTCGAAGACCGTCTAGAGTGGGTTAGCTTTTGTAGACATTATCTTATATCACGGCAGGCAGGAAAACTGTACATATCTACAATGCTTTAAGGCACATCCACAGTTGCATCCTCACTAAGTAATCATGGCTCCACTCCTGTGACCAGACATTCACTCAGCAGCACATTATGCAACTCATCCATATCGACCCAATCGCGTCTCTCCTGTCGTATGGACACATTGCGTATGCAGCCTTTGAAATTTTCGCGCGTCAGCAGCGTGCCAGTGGGCGCGATTTCTAAATAAATATAGAGAGAAAATGATTATTTGATGTGATCCTTTATGCCGGATTTACACTAGGCATTCAATGACAAACATTTTAATAATAAACTTTTGTAAGAATAGTCCTTAAGTTCGTTTCAACAATGGCACACATTTTTTGCCATTTTATTTTCCAGTGAAATTCGGCATTACGCCCGTTATTCTTTATTGAAAACAGCGTTGGTCAACAGTTTTGATCCTGTCCCAGTGTATAAAAAAACGTTTACTTTACCGAGAACGCGCTCGGGTTTTGCTTTAGTTCTGCACGAGAACAAAATGTTATGCCAAGAACGTTCCAACAAGAGTGAACACGAACAAAATGAGAGCAAAAGGTTCGGTGGCGCTTCCGTAAAAAAACAAAGAGCGAGCAAAACTGTCGAGAACGTTCTCAAATAAGAACAAGTCTGGAAACGTTCTGCTAGAGAACAACGCGAGAACAAAAGTTTTGAAAGGGCGTCTGCGTGTTGGGTTGAAAAATTGTTTTAGTCAGATTCATGACTGTTAATTGGAATCCAGAAAGCAGGATCATTTCAACGTCCATATCGTTTATCACTAGTGTCAACTGTCCATTTATGAAACAATTTTTTTAATTTTCTGCGCAAAAAAAAGGTCGTTTCTTTAGTTTTTTGTTCACTTAATTTGCATAGTTTTCTTTTAGTTCTTTTTTGATAAACTTTAGTATTTCACCATTTCAAACTGATTCAACGCTATTAGAAA